TGTGAGGCCGGCCAGACCCTCCCAGGAAGTCACTCCCTCCCTTGGGAGGCTGCTGGGCAGCCCTCACCTCCACCAGATGAACCCCGGAGAACCAACTGATGAGAAGGCAGATGCGGGGGATCCCCCAGGAGAGTAATGAATTTCATGGGGAAGGAATGCAGGAATGGGGGCCTTGGGCCCTCCACTCAGCAAGCAACCTGGCTGCAGGCGTCCAGGCGCGCCCAGGAGCATGTGCAACTCATTACCTCTGCTCGCCTCCCATTTGCAGCCCATGGATGACGCCGCAGTGCGGGGAGCGCCTGAGGCCGCGGGTGAGCAGGACTGCAATATTTTCTGACACTCACACCTCTCTCTGGCCCTTGGAAAGAGCCGTGGAGCAGCCAGGCCCAGGCAAACGCCACCCACACCCAGCCCTCCGGCTCCTCCGCCTGCTGGCACCTGACCAGAGGGGCCCACAGCTATCCAGGAGAGTGAAAAAAGGCAGAATTGGGGAGGGGAGAGAGGAAGCGGTGGCTGGCCCGGCCGGCCCATTTGGGCCTCTGTTCAAATGGAGGTGTACGTGGGCATCGAGGTCACAGAAGGCTTGGCTCAAGGACCTTGGAGGTTGCGTGTGCAATGAGCTCTTCCTCAAAACTCCAGCAACACAGGGAAGAGCCAGTGCTTCTCCTCACGGGAGACCCAGAGGAGCGGGCGTCCCTGCCCCTGGGGCTGCAGTGAGGCTGCTGGCAGCCCAGACACAGGCAGGAGGCAGGGTCCTGGGGTGGCCCCACTGAGGGTCGCAGAGAGGTCCTGAGGACTTTCCGAAGCAGGGGCTGGGGAGGGAGGCTGGCAGGGGGCACGCGGCACCACGCAGGGGCACCCAAGCCTCTCGTGGAAGGGGAGAGGAGCCGAAGCTTGTAACCTTCCCTTCTCACCTGGTAGGAGAAATGCAGGTAGACCTAAGGCAGTGGGGGAGGAGAGAAGTCAGGAGGGGAAGGCAGGGAGGCGGGGGAGAGGGGCTGTCAGACAGGACTGCCAATTCGAATAGGTTCCCACCCCAACGTCTTGAAGTCCCACCTGCACTCAAGTCTGAGTCACACTTTAGTATCTGGGCTGCAGCTTTGCACTTCGCTTCGCCAGATTCCAGAATCCTCAGGCCTCTCCTCCCGTCCCCCACCTTCAAGGGGAGACTCCTGGAGGGACTTGGGGCCCCTGCAGGGCCTGCCAGCCAGACTATTTTAATTCCCTCAAACCCACAGGGTGGCTGGGGCTCCCCACATTTACGCATCTCTGTCCCCTTCTTTTTGCCATCAACCCGCTGCTGCCCCCGGATGCCCTGCCCCTCCCGCTCCCCTTCCTGTTACATCCGGGCATGAGCATCAAAGCAGAAGCAAAATCCTGGGGAAACAGATCCAATCTGGCTTGAATTTCCCCAAGTCAGAGTTTTCTCTTAGAAATGAAAGGGAAGAGGAAAAATCAAACCAGAAACCCACGAGCTGAGGTGGCTGTTTTTATCTCAACCCTCTAGTCTTTCCAGGGTCCTCATGTCCCCCACTCCACACTGGGACCCTGGGATGAAGAGAAGGGAGACGCAGACAATTTGGAAATCAGGCTTAGAAGGTGTCTGTTTTGCCACCTTGACTATTTAAGGACCCCTGTGTTCGTTGTTCATTTATTCATTCAGCAAATACTCAGTGAGCGCCTACTGGGTGCTAGACTTGGGAGAATAAATGAACAAAATGGAGATGCCTGCCCTTGTCCAGCCTGTAATGTTCCCATGAGGAACAGACAGCAAATGATGAACACAATAAATAAGAGAATCACATAGCATGTTAGGGGAGACTAGGACTATGGAGAAAAAGGAAAGAGGAACAGGGACAGGAGTCCAGGAGGGCAGGGGGTCCCAGGAATGGAGAGGCTGAGATTTGAGCCAGGATGGGCAGGAGGCAAGCCGAGTGGGTGGGGGCAGTGGCCTCGGCAGAGCGCCCTTTTGGGGAGGGCCCTGCAGGCTCACTGTGAAGGCTGGCACCTCCTTGGGTCCTTTCCGGGTCATCCCCCTGTTGAGGTGCGAGTCTGCAGGCTTTGCTCAGAGCGGCATCACGTTCTGACTTAGATTTTAAAAGGATCCCAACCCAAACGCTATGACCACGTCTGTTTCTATGCACAGAATTTTGGAACTGGACGAGACCTCTAAGACATCCCTCGGCCCTTCTGGTGGACGAAGACACGGAGACCCAGAGATGGGTTGTCAGTTCTCCTGTCCCTGGCGGAGTGAGTCAGCCGTAACCCCGTTTCTTACCATTCAACCGCCTGCCCTCCATAAGACACTGGGCCTCAGGGGACCCCGAGGACTTGCTGCAGGGCTCCAAACTGCCCCCTGGCCAGATCTCCCCACAAGGGGTGGGGGACAGAGGGGTGGCGAGCCTGGAGAGCACGATGGCTGGGGCTATAGTTATTTTTCAGTCCTTCTGGTTCAAATGACCGTTTTTAATCTGGGATTCAGAAAAAGGGAGGGTAAGCAGAGGTGAGGGGTAAGATGCATGGCCCGGTGACACCTCTCACCCCAGGTTTACCCCAGGGCCACCCCCTAGGCACCCAGGCTGGCCCCGGTGGTCCTCCAGTCACACCCACTGTGGGGAGCCCCAGCTCCCGCCAAACCAGCCTCTTTGCTAGGGACAGGGAAAGACCAGGGAGTCTGGAACCCTTTGCTGCTGTGCCGACAGGGAAGAACTGGACACTGGCCTGCCCCCCAGCTCCCAGGCCCTTCCTCTCTCCCCCACAGGACACTGGCCCAGCTTGTGCGGCTCAGCCAATCACACATTCCCACCCCACCCCCTCTCTCACAGAATCGTGCGCAGTCTTTATGGCCTTTTCCAGAGTGGCTTCTCCCTCACTTGAATGCAGTAATCCATCTTATTCATGGCGTATTTGTGCCAAGACCCCCAATGGATGACTGAAACCACAGACAGTCCCGAAGCCTACATATACTGTCTTTTCCTATACATCCATACATGTGGTAAAGTTTAATTTATTAATTAGGCACAGTAAGAGATTAACAGCAATAACTAATAATAAAATAAAACAGTGATAACAATATCCTGTAATAAAGATTATGTGAGTGTGGTCTCTCTCTCTCTCTCAAGATATCCTCTGTGCTGCACCCACCCTTCTTGTGATGATGTGAGATGATAAACTGCCTGCATGATGAGGTGGCGAGGTGAGTGGCATGGGCACTGTGACCAGCATTAGGCCACTACTGACTTTCGGATGTTTCATCAGAGGGAGGATCATCTGCTTCTCGGGTGGATAGCTGAGGGTAACTGAGGTTGCGGAAAATGAAACCAAGGATAAGGGGGGACTACTGTAATCACACATATTGTTGCCTAAACTTTATAGCATGGTCATTGTCCCCAGGCCAGTCCCTTCCGTTTGAGAACAAGGATGATTTAATTTCTCTTTGGAGCTGCCCTGGCACTGAACCCACAGCTTGACACATAGTAGGACCCCAAAATGAGTTTGTCAGCTGGAATCCAGAGGAAGAGGTATCACAGTGGGGAGCTCCCCAAGGCAGGGTGAGGAAGCGTATCAGTCCCAAGCCCCAAGCCCCTTTCTCCTCTCTCGGCTGAGAATGAGCCTGAGCCCTGAGCCACCCAGCTCCCCTGCCTACACTCAGCACCCTGTGCAAGCAGAGACACAGCTGGGGTAGGAGGGGGGCCATTCCTCTGCTTGAGTTTTTTCAATGCAAAGGCAGCTAGCAGAGCGGAGCAAACAAAACATGGTGCTTGAGAAAGAGCTTGAATAAAAGCCTCAGAGATGGTTAGTTTTATGTGTCAACTGGACTGGCCGCAGTGTGTCCCTATTCACATCAGTCTGGATGAGATCAGCATTTGAGTCCGTGGACTCAGGAAAGCAGATGGCCCTCCTTCGGGTGGGTGGGCCTCATCCAATCAGCTGAAGGCCTGGATAGCACGAAAGGCAAAGGGATTAGCTTTGTGCTGCCTGCCTGTCTGCTTGAGTTGGGACACGTCATCTCATCCCCTCTGCCCCTCAAACTCTAATTTCCACCACTGGCTCCGCTGGTTCTCGGGCCTGCCTTAAACTAAACCGCACCGCCAGCTACCCGCAGATGGCAGGTCCTGGGTACTCGCCTCCATAACCACAGAGGCCAGTTCCATGATTAATCTCTGTTTGTGTGCATCCTCCTGCTTCTGTCTCTCCGGGGAGCCCTGACTATTACTGCCTGTCTAACCGGCCGTAAGTCTTTATAAGACTTCTGAATGTTCCCGTCTATTCATCTTGACGTGGGGAGAATGCTCTTCTCTGTGGCACTCACTGTAGAGAGGAGCGCATCCGTGCATGTAGCGGCATTCGGAAAGCACCTCCTAAGTGCAGAGCGCTATGCTGGGTGCACGGGAGTCAGGCTGTTGGGAAGAGGGGCTGTGGGCAATTTGGAGGAAGCTACACCAGGTCCATCTCCAGAGTGTTAGCAGATAACCAGCCCCCAGAGGTGTGGTGCCCCCTGGGTCACTGGCCCGGGAATCCCCTTCCCATGGCATGATATGGGGCCTCAGACCAGGGGTAGAACAAGCACCTTGAGGAGGTGTGTTCACCCCTCGCAAACACTTAGGGGCACGGACTGGACGCTCTCACCTGAGAGGGACTAGGCTGATTGGTTCAGATGCCTGGGTCTAGCCTCCCTCCCTCGGAGGAGAGGATGGTGGCGAGGCCTGGGCACTGCCCAGGAGCCAAGGCCAGAACCCCTCTGGGACTGAAAAGCTGTGTTATCCGGGGTGCTTTCCGCAGCCTCCACCAGCCCATCTGTAAAATGGACACCCATCTCACTGACCACACAGGTTTGCTGAGATGCATAAATCAGGAACACACGGAAGAGACCTTTCAAAGCATAAAGTTCAATATGTGAAGTGTTAGATGGGAGGTCACCAGTGCCCTGGAATCATGCCAAGGTTGGAGGTGGGTGCAGGGCCGACCTCACACCCCAGAACCGAGCCAGAAGCACTCACCATCCTCGCACAGGTCCAGCTTGGACAGGCTCCTGCCGTCAAAGGGCTCCTCAAAGATGGAGCCGGTGTCACGGTCGCTCACAGTGTGCAGGTACATGGCTCTGTTCTCCATAGTGTCCTGCAGCAGCGAGGGCAGCCACGCCAGCAAGGGGAGCAGGAGCGAGAGAGAGAATAAACTATAGGTGGGACAGAGACAAATGAACAGAACACCTGCACCGGACCCCCGAGCCTGACCTGCGACCCTCTCCTCAGCAGGTGTCATCCACCAGGTCCTCAGGACCCTGGCCCCGCACCCCACCTTCCTCAGTGCTTGGGAAGGTCAAGGTCCTGTGGACCTTTCTGATTTGGGATCTGTCCTCTTTCCTTCAACAGCTCTCAGGGGCGCTAGAGCCTCAAGCTGGGGTCATTAGGGTCTGGGTGGGGGTGGGTGGGGGTGGGACAGAACAGTTTCTAAGCTGCCTGCTTATTTTTGTTTGCTGGGTTTTCTACAATGCATTTGCATTTTTGTATAACAAGAAAAATGCTGAGCCCCAAGCACATCAAAGGGACTTGGGCTTCTGCTCTTTCAGAAATGAGGCAAACCGGGCCCATTGTGGGACGCGGTGAGCGCCAGCCTACACAGCCAAGGCCAGAGCTGCTCCCAAAGCCGACTGGACTGCTGTGGTCGGAAGGAGCTGGGCTCAGCAGGGTCTCATCTCCCCTGGGAGCCCGAGGGCAGGCAGCCTCACTGGGGCCCCCCAGACCCTCGGACCTGGGCAGACCAGGGGAGGGCCTGGTGTTCAGATGCTCTGAATCGTTGGAGCTTTGGGTGTACTCTGGGGCACCCCAGGAATGCACCCACCAACCTGGGAAAATACCTGGGAAAATGGTTGCTCTTCTAAATGAATCGGCCTGTTTACCCAAGTGTACACAATGCAGTCCCAGTTTGTACTATACACACATGTCCTGCGTATGGACCGGAAAGATTACATTCAGAGATGTTCTGGGCTGCTCGGGTGAGACATGAATTACAGGACTGTGGTGGGGACTGTGGAGATTGTGTGCTTATTTTTGTGTGCTGGATTTTCTGGGTTTTCTACAATGTCTTTGCATTTTTGTGTAATAAAAAAGGTCCATTTTTCAAACTGAACTACAAAGTATTTATTTACATAAAACATTTAATATTCTTTTTCTTACATGTGTGCTCAATGATTTTATAAACTACTCTGCTTTCAGCTCAGTTCCAGCTATTGTTTTAGCTTGACCTTCGGTTCTGATGCTCTTTGACTATCTAGCTTATTAAATTAAAAAAAAGTTCACTTTTAAAGAGCAAAAGTTTTGGAAGATTAAAGTGTCTGGGAGGATAGATAGGTCCCAAGCTGATGGGGGGGCAAACTCAAGCTGGAAGCCCAGAGAGCTGAGCCAGGGTTCTTCCACTTGGGAGGGGATGGCAAGGGCCTGGGGCAGGGGGTGGAGGTGGGCAGGGACAGCGGCGCTGGTTGAGGGGAGCAGCCAGTCGGGTCCCCTTCCAAAGCAGGGTGGGGAAGAAGCCATCAGCACTGCTTCAACAAGTACAGATAATGAAGGAGGAATCTGGCTGAACTGCTCTGTCAAGCCGAGGAAAACCTAAATGCCCTATTTTCATGATTCGACTTTTGTCTCAAAACACCTCTGACTTCAGGGCTGAGAGGAGCCCAGAACTGAAGAGTTGCCATACAACTGTCCTTCCCCTGGCCCTGGGTGCTACATGAGGGCTTTTGCCCTTGTCTCTTCAAGCAATGAGATGCCACATGCCCTGCACACATGTGCAGGCCTGCATGCACACACACGGGCGCACGCACAGTCAGGATGTTTCCCGTCTCTGCGGGCCTTCCTCCCAGCCTGCGGAAGGGAGGGGCAGAGGAGAACCCGCAGGTCTGCCAGGATCCCTTCTCCCTGCCCCAGGGCTTCCCCGAGCCCCAGGACGGCTCCCGCCCCTGCTTCTCCAAGCTCATGTGAGTCCAGTCCGCTGTCTCCCAATACCTCTGCCCTCCATCCAAGTTCTCCACCCACTAAGGGCCTCTAGGTGGGGCCCTAAGCAGCTCCATGTTGCTAAGCTACGGGGACCCCTCCCTTGTTTCCCCAGCTCGCTATGTGGAAGCCCTCCCTCTGGCCTCAGTCCTGGGGAGCTGCAAAGCAGGAGGCCAGTGTCCCTTACGCATGCGGTAACCCTCTCTTTGCCAAAGGCAACAGCGTGCTGCCTGGAGGTCACACAGGGCAGAGCGGCAGAGTATGCTGGGAGTGCAGGCAGGCCAGGGTCAGAGTAACCCCCTCTCTTCGTTTCTACCTTCCCCGCCTGCCCATGAGCTCCTGGACCAGAGCTGGAATGCAGGCTTGCTCGGCTTTATCTGGAACGTGTGTGCAGGGCGGCCCCCCTCGCCCCCTCCCCGCCCCTCAGCTGGTTCCATGGAGCCCTGGGGAGAGCAGAGAGGGGCTGGGGCCAAGCAGGAGGCCAGATGTGAGTGAGATGAGGGTGGGAATGCTCAGTCAACCCGCCTCGTGTTTGTTACTCAGGAATGAAACCTAAGAATGTTCTGTGGGCCCTGAGTTTTATTTTGGGCTGTTTTTCTTTCTTAGGGAATGGGGGACAGGAATTTGGACCCTTCAGTCATGGGTCTTATAGTTGGTTGGGCCAAGTCTGTGCTCCCAGGCAAGGCATGACTAACTGCAGAGAGCGGGGACAGTGAGCAGAAGCTCTTGCGTGGGCATACGCCCAGAGTTACAGACCCTTTCTGGGCGGAGTCTCTCTGCCCTCCCAGCAGCACTGTGATGGGGGCAGGTGCCACCAGTTCGTTGCCCCTCTTTTAAAGAGAAGCCATCCTAGGTCCAACGAGGCACAGCCAGTGGATGTCAGGGTCAAGTAAGGCACTAGGCAAAGGCTTCCCGCCCGCTGCCCCGGCTCACCCACTGCCCCGGCTCACCCATGAGGCTGCTTTCTCCAGGAAGCATGGCCTATCGGTGGCCACCTTTACGGGCCATGACCAGGCAGAGAAGAGAGTCACATGGGAGTCCAGGGGGCAAAGAAGAGGCTCTGAGAGCTGGAAGGGAGGGAGCCAGGGTCACATGGGAGGGTGGGGAGGCCACAGTGACCTGGGGATGAAGCCTGGGCCTCTGTGTTTCAAGTCAAGAGTGGGCCTTCCTTTCCAGGGAGAGGACACTTTAGTGGCTTCTTAGGTGTGTCTTATGCTGCATTTAAGAGCTGAAGTGCCCCATCCACTGCCCCAGCCCAGGTAGTGCTGTGCAGGCCTGTAGGGTGAGGGGTGCTCAGAGGACCTGGGGACCTATCTTGGTTCCATTTCTTGATACTGGGGAACTTGGCACAATCAGCTGAGCCTGCTCAGCCTTGGGCCACCCTGTCTGATGGAGAGAAGCACAATCACCAATTCTTCCTGCCGAAGGTGGTGCAAGCTTCCCTTCACGCTGCAAAGAGTGTCACCCTGGGTTCCGGCGTCTAACTCAGCGGGGCTCTGAGCTCCCCTTGGTAGCTTTCAACTCACCAAGACCAAGTCAAAATCCCCATGAATGTGGCCCTCTCCAGAGACAGAATGGCTAAGAGGGTTTTATTTTTAAGCCCTTTCCTCCTCTAACTGCACATAGTTAACCTAAATCTAACTCAATGCTGCAGAGGTGCAGATGTTTTATAAATGAGCTCTTCCTTCGTGCATTCCGCCACTGGGCACATGTGCACACACATGCAAATGCTCCCCAAGCGTGGACTGAAATCACATGTACCATCTGCTTTCTAAATAGGTTCTTGAGTTGTGACACAAGCCAGGCAGAGTTGCCACTAAAGCAGTATCTCCCCCAGATGCAGGCTCGTGCTTGCCAGCCCATGCAGCCCGGTGAGGGCCCAGGGGACCTCACAGGCTGACAGCGAGGACCTGCCCACCTGGCCCTGGCAGCTCCATACTGCACACCCTGAGGACGCCCGTGCCAGCGCCCTGCTCCACCTGCCACATCCCAGAGTTCTCCAGCCACCTTCAGGACAGCATGCCCAAGTAAGACATTGGTGCTAGGACAAAGTCAGTGCCAAGACTCACCTGCGTGCCACCACTGAGGCCACAGAGCCTGTCCTCTCAGTGTCCTGCATTCAGCATGGGGGCCAGAGAGCTGGCTGCTGCCGCTGTGCTGAGACCCAGACAGCCCCTCAGAGCTTGTGCCCACCGCCAGCCAAATCCAGACAGGGTCATAGAAAACGGCTGCAGGGTGTTCAGGGACTTGTCTCAGGTCACTTCTCCAGGAGGATCGGCTCAGAGACGGGATCCACCTGGTGAGCCCGTGGGGGCCTGTGGCTGGGGGTCCCTGTCTTGGGGCCGTGTCTCGGCCAGCCCCAGGCAGTGCTCTGGAGATGTTCTGTGGAGTCACCAGCAGCTCTGCTAGGTACTGACCGAGATGTGAGCTGCAGCTGCTCTGGCGGCCCGTCTTTATAAATTAAAAGTTCTTGGAGCATTTGCAGAGGCTCCCCTGGGGCCTGGAACATGTCCCCCTCTGGTGGCCAATCTCAGCATTACAGCCCCATACAGGAACGCCTGCGCGCTCCAGAGCAGGAAAGTCGGCCTCGTCCCGGGACTCCACGCCCCTATCCTAAAGGCCCTGCTCAAAATACTTTTTGGAAAGCTTCTATGGGAATGGCAGCTAGACCTCGCATATGAACCACGCAAGGAAACCAGGCTCATAAACTTATTTATAGGACAGAATTGGCATTGCTCAATTCATTCACCAAACTTGGCTTAGAATGACTTCATGTGCTCCCCTGAAGTCACATTCACTCCCGGAGGACACAGACGGGCCACCCTGGGGATATTCAGCAGAGGGCTCCATGGATGCCGAAGGAACTTCCGAAAGTCACTCCCAACGCCCGCACCCCCCCTCCCCGCCTGCAGTAATGCCAGCGTTTATGGAGCGCGGACACAGCACAGGGCTGGCGCACACGGGAAGGGTAGGACAGGCTCACTGTCCTTAGGAGGGTTGCAATTCCTGATGAGAGGTGGACTCAGGCACAAATGCTGCAAACCTAAGCATGACCGAATACGTTTTACAAAAGAGAGCTCACCAAAATGTTAAGAGAGTTCATTACATTCAGATGGGGGCAGTGATGGGGAAGGTGTCAGGGAAATTCCAAACATAGTTTGACCCACGGCACCAACATCAGTTTACATGAGCAGCCCCCCAGGGACAGAGCTCTGAAGGTAACATTCACAAACAGAGCTCTGAAGATAACATTCACAAACACGCTCCCATTTATTGGTTAAAAATTCAGTCTCAGTACTTGAGGGTCAGACAGTTTGAGAACAGTTTGCCAGGTTGCAGCTCTCCCAGCCGTGGGGCCCCCAACCCGCAGCTGGGTCAGAAACGGCTGAGTCACTTTCAGTGACTGTGCGTCCTGACCGTGCCGGGAGGCAGCCCCAGTGAGAGGCTCCTCTGAGCAGAGGGCAAAAGCACGAATTATGTAAGAAGAACAAGCCTGGAAGTTGTGGGGGCACAAAAACAGAGGGCAGGAAGGGGGAAACACCTTATAGGATACCATGCGCTACTTGGTACTGCCAAGCGCTTTTCACATATTAAACTCATTTACACTACCAGCCCGGTGGGGCAGGTACTGCTATTCCATTTTTAGAGGGACAGAGGCATGCACTAACTTGTCCCTGAAGCAGCCTGCAAGTGGCAGGGCAGATTCCACCCTAGGCAGTCGGGCTCTAGAGTTTGTGCCTAACCACCCTTCTGCTGCTTCTCACGAAGAAGAGTGTTTTTTAGTTGCCCATAAATTCACCAACATTCTTAGGGATGTAATCTTAAAAATAGCCAGAAATGTGCTCAAAGTGTTATGTCTAGGAATCTTGGTTGCAGAGATGTGTGTATCCACAAGACATGCAGTGGGTTGGAGAGACCTGGTGATGTCCCACTTTACTTGGGACAAAGAGCTTGCACTGTTGGTGCACCTTACCCATCAGGGCCCTGAGGACAGGGACCCAGGTGCAGCCCAGGATATGGGCGGAGCCTCTCTTACCATTGATAGCTGATGACCCAGACACGGAGGAGTCTCACTTTCTGCACAAGAGGCTCCTGAGCAGGCATAGACTGTTAAACCGTAAAATTGCAGGAGGAATGAAGCTTTTCCTTTTAAACTCAGGAGCTTCTTTTCTGGCTTACTTCCCTTGTAAGAAAACCCGTCTGTATTGTTGCATGTAGCAGTAGTTCATTCTTTCTTTCCTTCTTTTTCCTGTGTATGATATCCATTATATGCCTATATTACCGTTTCTTTACGCATTCTCCCATTGATGGGCATTAGGGTTGTTTCTAGTCTTTATCTCTTACGAATGGAGCTGCCCCAACAGGCAAGAGAATGCTTGATAGCAAAGTACAGGAATTACCTGGAGACCAGGTTCCCTAGTGGGGGATAGAACTTTGGGCAGCTTGTAGCTCAGAGGATAGTTGCTTGTCACCTAAGATCAGAATGGTCCAAAAATGGTTTGCTTGCGTTCAACAAAGAAGACATTTGTAGCAGGCACCGCCCTCCCCATGGTATCATGAATACATGATTGCATTGAAGGAGAGTAGAATAGACTCTCAAGTAGCGGCATCTATGGATGGAAGCCAATGAGGCACATCAGAACACATCTGCTGTGCTCAAATGCTTCCTGTTTCTTTGAATGATTTCATCTGATTATCCCAGGAACTCTTCAGGGTGAAGTGAGGATCATCCCCCATTTCTATATGGAGAAGGTCACAATGCTGGGCTCTTGGACACAACATCCACAACTGTCTTCTACCTCCAGAGCATCTGTGTTTGCAGGGAGGCCTCCCATACCTTCAGTTATTCATTCAACAAACATCTGGTGTGTACCTTCATACAATATATTCTGGATGTTTCTACAAACATGAATGAAACCCAGCCCCCATTGTTGAGGCTCTTCGGCCTAGGAGGAGAAAAGGTATGAGAAGAGAGGATCGCAGCCCGGCACCCCCAAGGGGCTCCTCGTAGCTTCAGAGATGTGCTTCCATTGCTGGAATCTCAAACCTTCATCCTCATGCTTGACTTTGCTTTTTCTCCCCCAACCAACAAGAATCCTTCCTAAAAACTCTAACAAGTTTAACATATCTAAGGAAAAATGGGCAAATCATAATGTCCAACTTGTACATTCTTCACAAACTGAACAGACCTGTGAAACCAAAACCTGGGTCCAGAGCAGAACATTCCAAGCACCTCAGAACCTCAGAAGCCCCCATCTTGTTCCCTTTCTGGTCACTGATGCCCCACAACCCACATAACCACTGTTCCGTATTCCATCACCAGGGATGATTTTGCCCAATCTAGACCTTCATATAAATGGAATCCACATCAAGTTTGTGAGATTATTCACTTTTATTGTGGTTATTAGTGGTTCATTCACTCTCACTGCTGTAGGTATTCCATTGCATAAATGTACCACAATACAATGTATTTGTCCTTTCTACTGTTGAGGCCATTGGGTACTTTCTAGTTTGGGGCTATTATAAAGAGCGCTGCTATGAACATTCTTGTGCATGTCTTCTGTGAACACAGGGGTGCGTTTTTCTAGGGCATATACCTCAGAAGGGCATTGAGGGGTCAGAGGGTTACATGGTGTTCAGCTTCAGCAGATATTGCCCAGGAATTTTCTGGAGTGGTTGCATCAGTTTACCCTCCCACCAGCAGAGCAGGAGAGCTGTCCCGGTTGCTCCTCATCCTCGCCGGGGTTAGTAATTTTATCCTGCCCAGTTTATCTATTCTGGTGGGTTTGTAGAGTCATCACAAATTTGTATTTCCCAGATGACTAATGAAGTCGAGCCCTGTAACTACGCTTATCTGGTCTGTTTTTCTTTTTCTTGCCTGAGCTCTGTAATGCCAGCTCTCTGTGCATTTCCGTTTATACCAGCAGGTCCTGCCTGACGGACTTCTATGGACTGTTCCATTGGCCTGGAATGGTTCCCCAAGATGTTTGCAAGGCTTTGCCTCCTTCTAGCCGCTTCTCAGATGTCCCTTTCTCAGTGGGGCTCACCCTGGAGATCCTGTTGAAAATTGCTGCCCACCTTCTTCCTGCCTCACCTTTTCTTTTTGTTCCCATTGCCCCGATTGGCCTAACTTACTACGTAATTCACTACGCTTGCAGAGATAGCTAGTGCATTGTTTCTGGTCTTAGAACATCAGCTCCAGGAAGGCAGACCCTCTATGCATCCCAAATGCCTCGAGCACATAGAGAGGGCTCAATAAAAATCTGTGTGTAACAATCTGGAAAATGCGCGTTCTAGGCACGGGGAACAAGTAGATTCAAAACGCCAGTATGGAAACAAAGCGGACGCGCTGGAGGCTTGTGCGGTTGGAGCGCAGAGAACGCAGGGCACTGGGAGATGAAGGCAGGGGCGGGGAGGAGCCGGACTTTATTCTGAGCCCTGTAGAAAGCCCGGTTCAATGCTCTTATATGTCTGCCTCCTCTCTCAGGGAGCATAAAGATGCCATATTGTAAATGTGGAAAGACTTTTACATATCTTCACTTTAATTTGCTATTTCTTTAAGATTTAAAAATTTTTTAAATTATGCTGAAATACGTAACATAAAATAGACCATCTTAATCATTTCTAAGTGTGTAGTTCACTAGCGTTGAGTATACTCACGTCATTATATAACCCATCTCCAGAATTCTTTTCGTCTTTCAAAACTGAAACTGCATCCGCATTAAACACTAACGCCCCATTCCCCATCCCCCAGCCTCTGGAAAACCCCATCCTACTTTCTTTTTCTATTAATTTGACTATTCAGATAACTGGTAGAAAGTACTTACTGTCCACACTGGCTGCCACCGGCACTGGCTCACCCTCTCCATCCTGTCTTCCTCCCCCTTGACCCCCCACACCCCGTGTCTCTGGGAGCTTAGGCCACTCCCTTCTCTCCCCCCGCCCCCACCCCTGCCGCCTGAGACCTTGCCCACTGCCCACCCGCCACCGCTTCCTTCTCCAGCTTTTCAGGGGCCTGAACGAAGTGCTCTAAGGTGCTCTGAGCCCACCGAGGTCGGCTGCTGGGTTACACTCTAGTGCGTGCCGTCTCCGCCACCCAGGCCAGTGATGGGCCCAAAGCAGGGGCAGGCTCGCACTTACTGGTCGGTGATGTGTACAGTAAGCCTCAGAGACGCCTTGTGAAGGGAAGACCAGATTCCAAGCAGAACACCCAGCCTTGACTCCCAACTCCACCTTTCCAAGAGCTGTGGGTATGGGCAAGTCACCGAACCTCTTTGAATTCTCATTTCCTCATCTGTAAAACTGGGGTATTACTTTTTGGCCTTCCCATCTCAAGGACTAGTACAAGGCAGCAGGATATTGAAAACTCAAAGCACTTCACAAAACGTAGGCACTGTTATTATTTTTCAGAGTTGACAGCCCCTGAGAGATGGAGTATTAATTGCATGTGGCTCTTTCTC